TTTGTTCTTAAAGATCTTTCAGTTTGTTTTTAAAGAACATTTAGTCTTCTGTTAAAGATCGCTTAGTTTATTCTTATAAATCATTAAAGATCATTTGTTTTGTTCTTAAAGATCATTTAGTTCGGTCTTAAAAATCGTTTAGTTTGTTCTTTAAGATCGTTTAGTTTGTTATTAAAAATAGTTTAGTTTGTTCTTTGAGATCGTTTAGTTTGTTATTAAAGATCGCTTAGATAGTTCTTAAAGATCGCTTAGTTTGTTTTAAATATCATTTAGTTTGTTCTCAAAAATCGCTTAATTTGTTCTTAAATGTCGCTTAGTTTGTTGTAAAATATCGCTGTCACTTAGTATTAAATGACCGAAAACCTGAGTAACTTTCGGCCGGGTGGCCGAAAGTCTAAGTCAATTTCGGCCGAAACTGAAGAAAAACCGAAAGTTAACTTTTCTCTTTCGGCCGAAACCGAAATTAAGCCGAAAGATAACTTTCCAGTTTCGGCCGAAACCGAAACTTGGCCGAAAGTGATAAAATGGCCACTTTCGGTGCCGAAACCGAAATTCGGTCGGCCTCTACACCAAACCCTTCTTGGGTGTGTCCCGTTTTTTCCAGTTCATGATTTCGTCACCCTAGCTTATCCCCCCCCCCCCCCCCCCCAGGAAAAAATTGTAGAGACACTTCACTCTCTTTTTTCAACCTTCACATTTAAGGATTGTGACTCATCTGACCATAGCAGGGTGTCACCAGTGTTTCTTGTGTCGGGGAGGGGTGCAAAACAATAACTTGGCCGGCTGGTTGAGTTACTTATTTCGTCTACATACCAGGGGCGTCATTTCAGGGTTTTTTCAAGGGGGGGGGGGCAAAACCAAACCATGGTCGGTTTGTTAAGTTATTTATTACACAGTACATAGCAATCTAAATTCAACCTGCAAATTCGGGGCAGGGGGGGGGGAATGCCCCACCCAACCCAAATGTCCTTGCTACATATGCAAAATAATTCTGCAAGATGTAAGTATTGTAAGAATTTAATATACTTTCAGCCACAATTTGTAAATGAGTAGAATAGAAATAATTAGAAATAAGGTATTGGTGTACTTTATTAAAATTTGAAAACAAAATTGTTCTGTTTTCACATATAGGCCAGGTTTCAATTTGATAGGATGACAGGAAGAGGGTATTAGCCGTCCAAAGATCTTACCCTAAGCCTAAGCACACGAAAAAAAAAGAGAAGTTAATAATAAAGGGTGCTGGGTAGCCGAGTGATCTTAACTGACTCTCTTCAAATAGTGGTGGCCTGGGGCTCAATCCCAGCCAAAGTCAACATCCCAAGCACCGAGGGTGGATGGGACTCGTTAGCCTTGGAAGGCAACCCATCTAAGAGAAGGCTAACTCTGAATTCAAACCAGAAGCCAAAATGATTAAAAAATGATCGTGGGCCTGAACATATTTAAAAAAAAATAATAATAATTTTTCTTTTTACAAAGTTAATTTTCAACGAAAATGACATAAATGGCAAATTCGATTACTTTCAAGAACTCACTAAACCCATGTGAAAGACGACTTGAAAGACCATGTGAAAGACGACTTGAAAGACGATGTGAAAGACGACTTGAAAGACCATGTGAAAGACGACTTGAAAGACGATGTGAAAGACGACTTGAAAGACCATGTGAAAGACGACTTGAAAGACCATGTGAAAGACGACTTGAAAGACCATGTGAAAGACGATTTGAAAGACCATGTGAAAGACGACTTGAAAGACCATGTGAAAGACGACTTGAAAGACCATGTGAAAGACGACTTGAAAGACGATGTGAAAGACGATTTGAAAGACCATGTGAAAGACGACTTGAAAGACCATGTGAAAGACGACTTGAAAGACCATGTGAAAGACGACTTGAAAGACGATGTGAAAGACGACTTGAAAGACCATGTGAAAGACGACTTGAAAGACGACTTGAAAGACGATGTGAAAGACGACTTGAAAGACCATGTGAAAGACGACTTGAAAGACGATGTGAAAGACGACTTGAAAGACCATGTGAAAGACGACTTGAAAGACGTTGTGAAAGACGATGTGAAAGACGTTGTGAAAGACGATGTGAAAGACGACTTGAAAGACGTTGTGAAAGACGATGTGAAAGACGATGTGAAAGACGATGTGAAAGACGACTTGAAAGACGACTTGAAAGACGTTGTGAAAGACGATGTGAAAGACGATGTGAAAGACGACGTGAAAGACGACTTGAAAGACGACTTGAAAGACGTTGTGAAAGACGTTGTGAAAGACGACGTGAAAGACGACTTGAAAGACGTTGTGAAAGACGACGTGAAAGACGTCGTGAAAGACGACGTGAAAGACGTTGTGAAAGACGACGTGAAAGACGTTGTGAAAGACGACTTGAAAGACGGTGTGAAAGACGACGTGAAAGACGACGTGAAAGACGACGTGAAAGACGACGTGAAAGACGTAGTGAATCGACGTGAAAGACGACTTGAAAGACGTTGTGAAAGACGACGTGAAAGACGTTGTGAAAGACGACGTGAAAGACGTTGTGAAAGACGACGTGAAAGACGTTGTGAAAGACGACGTGAAAGACGTTGTGAAAGACGATGTGAAAGACGACGTGAAAGACGACGTGAAAGACGACTTGAAAGACGTTGTGAAAGACGACGTGAAAGACGACGTGATAGACGTTGTGAAAGACGACTTGAAAGACGTTGTGAAAGACGACGTGAAAGACGTTGTGAAAGACGACATGAAAGACGTTGTGAAAGACGACGTGAAAGACGACTTGAAAGACGACGTGAAAGACGACGTGAAAGATGACGTGAAAGACGATGTGAAAGACGACTTGAAAGACGACTTGAAAGACGACGTGAAAGACCATGTGAAAGACGACTTGAAAGACCATGGGAAAGACGACTTGAAAGACGTTGTGAAAGACGACGTGAAAGACGATGTGTCAGGGTCGAACGGCTGAAGAAACGGTTTGTCGGTTCGACCAAATTCTGCCTTATTGAAATAATTAAAAATAATTGGAGGATTATTTGGCTCCAGTTTTTTTTCCGTCTCCATTACTATTGTCATCGTACACCATGTGACATGTTCAGTCCTTTATCCAACTTGGATCAATGGACCCCAAGCCAGGCGTACTACAATCATGGGCGCCCGCAGGGGGGGGGCTAGGAGGGGCACTCCCCCCCCCCCCCCCTAAATAAAACTATTATTAAACCTTACCAAAATTTTTTGCCCCCCCCCCCCCTGGAAAGTTAATCGATTTTTTTGCCCCCCACGAAAGTTCTCTGCGGGCGCCCAAGACTACAATTTAAATCTATGGACAATGAATAGACCGCAACCTCATTTTTTCTTTCTTTTTAACGCTTAATACAAAATAACGGAGTTTTTGTGCATCCAGGAAGGCAAAGGAATACATTTTTTTTTTTTAAAAGTAGTACTATATTAATCCAGCTGCCACATTGGCCTGCATTGAGATTGTTAGCGGCAGTTCACACGATAAAATTTGATCATGTATTTGATGCGATTTTTATATGAAGCCATGTCACAACTTTTAAATTACTATCTATTTGTTCAAATTCTCATTTTTGTCCACAAAAAAAAAAAAAAAAGAAACCACGCACAAAATAGTGCACTCATACACAAATAGGACGCGAAATTTGAGGCTAATACTAATGTGATCACGTGAACTGACGCTTATTGTCAGCCCACCACGCCATCAAAAGAAACTATCAAATTTAGCACTTTGATGATTATCGGCTTAGTTGATGGCTGTTTTTTGTTTGTACTTTTTTTTTTTGTTGCATACAACATTTCTATATCATAGTCATAATTAAAGGAGAATTACATTGTATAATATCGAGCCAATATTTTCATATATCTCATACTTAGTTAATAGTAATAACTGATGATTAAATAATTAGTCTTTTTCTTTTCGTTGCACTTGGTAGAAAATGCCGTCCACCCTAGGCCTATTTAGTGAAAAAAGTGCCACCAGGGGCGGAGACCCACCACCTTCCTACGCCACTGGTAAGGCCCACTACAACTTGTCGGTTTTGTGCCCCCCCCCCCATAAAAGTTGATTTGATGCATGTTCAAATCCTTGTGACGTAACTTTAATAAAAGAGATATTTTTAATAAAAATGAAATCATCGCCCCGACATGTTTCTTTTTGAACTTTGAAAACAACATCCACTATTTTATTAAACATCTGTTTATGGTTGGCCGCCAATGGTTATTGCCTCAAGGATAAGTAGTAGCTTTTAATAATTAAAATTAGGATTTGAAATCTGTTGATCTTTTCTTGTCTTATTTGGAATTTTGGGGGGAAAAAAATCTGCACAGGGAATACCATCCAAAAAGCTATTAGAATTACTGGTTATGTAGTAACTTAAGATAACTTGGTGGGAACTCACTCTGGTGACATGAATGGGAGCTAAACACTGTTAAATTTCAAGCTATTTCCAGGACAAAAACCCAAGTAAATGTCATCACTCTTCCAAAGTGCAATTTGCAACATTGACTTTCTGACCAAGCGTTCTGTGCTCAAACTGGGAGAGAGTCGAGGCCCAGTGATTTGCTACTGTTCCTGCTGATGAGGTAGGTGGCTGACACAACTAATTGGGCCTTAAACAGCGATTAGCTTGACTCCCAAAAATAAAACTAAGTATCTAGTGTCACTACAAGAACATGAGCATTCATCATGTGATTCTTTTTCAGTTCTTTTTTTTTTAATACCGTAACTTTTATGAATCAAGATAACTATTCATATTACAACACACATTAAGAATATGTTGGAATTAATAAATTCTTTCTTCAAGTATTTCTTGGATAAAAGGACATCCTTTTTTTTTTCTCATGAAATAAGTCTTAGTGTTGATGTATTACAACAGATGAAAATGAAAGTGACAAGGATATCTATTTCCACTTTCATACATTGAATGAAAGTCTAAAAAAACATGGATGAAAGTAGGTAACAATATTAGAGGACATAAAGTTATAAAGTTTAAACCAATCTATTTTTATGTTTATTAAAACCAGTACCGGTAAAAAACAATTATCTCAAAAAATATAATTCCAAGTGTCCAAGATTTTAGGAACAGAAAATTTTATTATGAATTAATAATCATTCCTTTCATTAAAACTATTAAAAGGACAAAACATTCATCAGAAAAGTGTTCATGTACATAGTTTACTCCAATAAAAAATTTGTCAAATGGATTCAGAGGGCTAAGATGAAGGATTATTAAATTCGTTTCTCAATTTCCTCAAACGCTCTTTTTCTAATTCAACTCTGCTGTCCAAGTCCTGTGAGACAAAATAGTTGAAAAATATTTTGAAATGCTTGGTTTTGAAATGGAAAAGAAAAAAAAAAGGGTTGTATTTTGGATAAGAAAAAGATAGGTCATTAAGTCATTAAGAAATTGTACAAAAAACCAAAGTGTCCTCGTTTTATAGCCATTTTAATTGTTTCTATAGTATAGTAGTTACTATCCTATTGTCTCATTTTTATTTTAGTTAGTTTACATGTTTTTACTAATTGTAAAGCGCTTAGAGCTTTAAGGTAAGCGCTATATAAAAATTCCTAAATACATAAATACAATACCTGGTACTGTCTGAAGTCAATGTGAGGGAATAGGAAAATGTTATGATCATGTGTATAGGCCATATTATTAGTGTATCAGCCTTTATATCACCTCTATAAATTTCTTATTTAATAAAAACAAAATTTAAAAAAAAAAGGACAATTATAGAAAAGCATAAGATACCTTTAAAGGAACATATATCATGTGAACTACTTGAGCTCCTGCAGCCATTGAGAGAAAAGCTGCAGCACAAGCTGACAAATAACGTGGCCAAGAGGTACCAGCAGGCATGACTTCTGTTGTATGTTCATTAAGAGAATTATTAGATATTAGAATGTAATTTGAACAAATTGACTAGCATTAAAAATTAATTTTAATATAAATATAATTTTGTTCCCTTTACTTTTCTATAAAAAACTGTTCATAAACTGATTTACTTTTAAAGACTAGACACTATAAAAATGGGGAATTAATTTTATTTGATATTGAATTAGCATTCATTTGAATTATTTTTAAGTCTTAAAAACAAAAGAAAATGAATTTCAGTAACTAGCAACACTGTTTTAATTTATTAATCTATTCTCAAATAAATATGGTACATATCAAATTTTTACTATAAAAGTAAAAGCTTTGTACTTTGTTTAGTTTTGACCCTCAAGTTCCAGAGCTTCTTCTGCGAGTTTAGTAGCTTCTTTTTTCATGTAGACGTCATCTAAAATATAGAAATAATTCTTTAAGTAAAGGATAGAGACTAAAGAGTCTTAGATTTAGAAATTAAATATTAAAATAAGTTATATCAAAGGCCTACATTTAAATATCAGGATGGACCTAAAACTAAATAAGGATCATGTCATGGTGGTGATTGAGTCAATCAATGAATCATCAATATTCAATGAATGAATGATTAATGTCCATTTTGTGCAGGGTTGCAAATAGTCAATGGTCTGTCAAAATTTTACCTAAATTTACTTGTCTGTTAATTGGCATTTTGATGTGTAACAAAACAGGGATGTTCGTAAAAAAAAATTAGACAATTGTACAAAAAACTTTAAAAGTCAAACAAAACGGGAACTCTCAATCTCAGCTTTTGTGATTTCTTGCTACATAGATAAGCAGGAGAAATTCAAAACAGATGACAATGCAATAAAAATTACAATAATAAACATATAATTTAAGTAAAACACATACTCAGCATACTGCGACATAGGCGCTTATAATATAATTAATTATAGGCCCTTAAAAATTTGATACACATAAAAACTAACATTTTGTGCCAAACAGATTTTTGATTTTTTTAAAAAATTTTCATTAATAATAATATTATTAATGTAAGGTTGTAGAAGATTGATAGTGAGTGAAAGATTCAGTGAGTTTAAAGTTTAATTTAAAATGTTTTACTAAAAAAATGTGTACCTAAAGAATTTTATTCAGTAAATTTGATTTTTTTTTTAGTTTGCCACCCTAATTTTGTCAGTGAGTATATATTTTGATGATTGAGTGAGAAATTATAGTCAGTGTAATGTGTATAGCGAGTATAGTATAGCCATGGGAGTGTAGCTCATACTCATATTATCTGTCTATATTGTGAGTAGGAACAATATAGACACATAGTCATGATTCACAGGCTCATGCATGCAATTGGTGTGGAATCTAGTCTATCTAAGTCTCAGCTTAGACAAAGCCATGATTCATGATTTAAATAATGGCAAGTAGGCCTATAATTTATAATATAACTCATAACATAGTAATTAGAACTAGTTTTAGTTTTACTAAAATAGTTAACTAACCTAACTAAAACTTTAACACAGTCACTAAGCTAGTGAGTCACTAAGTCAATTAGTACTAAGTAACTAAGTCTTAGTAAGTGTCTTAGTCAAGGACATGTCGATTCGGAGGCAACGGCCACCGACCCCCTCGACATTACCCAGGGAACAAGACCACAGTGGCGCGTCCTGCGTGGGCAGACAAGGGATGAGCTTGGTACATTCCGTAAATAAAACACCACCTAAAGGGCTGCCAGCTGTGACGCTTCACAATTGGAAGTAAGGGCAGAGACAGGGTAGGGATCATGACAAGTTGCCATTAATGGATATGAGGCTAGAGGCGAAGGTGGTAAGCTCTAGGCGATGATTCTTACTATGCAGTGAATGCAGCCCTTAGAAGCTGCTCCAAGGCAACAGTTTCGTCCCAGCTACTTTGCAAATAACTTGCGCCGTGGAAACCCACTGTAGAAACTCTCTTAAAAGGCATCCAACGCTTCCCCGGGATGGGTGGGGGAAGATATTAGGACGTAAATTTACCATTCCCACTCCTGAGAAAGTTGATCGTGTACACTGTGCAAACACAGTGTCGGATCTACTGGGTATCTTTAAAACAATTTAAAATTTATAATATATACATGGGTGTGACACACTGAACTTCTGCACACTGTTAAAAAGCTGTAAAATAAATGCTGCCCCCAGCGGAACCAGATAGAGCGGACTCGGGTGGGGGCTGTCCTGGCAAAGAGGCATCTCTTACGTGCCGCTTCACGGCCCGATACCAGGCTTGGGGGGGGGGGGGTTGCTTTGGGGGGGGCAAAAAGGGCATTAGCTTCATTAGCTCGACGGCCCGCTGACGCCATTTCTTACTTAGTGACATTTCAGTCAAGGACATGCATTTACATATGACATATAACATAGTGATAGTGACATCATACTACTACTACATGACTACAGACTACTACCCTGAGAGTTAAACGCAGTCGGCTGGGAATAACTCTCAGGGTTATGCGCAGTCGACTGCGTATAAGTATAACGCTTCCCATTAACAAATCATCAATTCACAACAAAACAAAAAAATTACAAAAATTCACTCCTAGCGGTTTCCACTTAATCATAGAAAATTCTAAGGCAGCTCCCATTACAAAAAACAGTGGCATTAATCTATAAATGCCAAACTTTTTGTTACCAGGCAACTTATCAATTAATGTTTTAATTATTTGACTATGAAACTCAAACATTTCAGTCTCAAGGGTATCATCGTTTACAAATATTATTACTTCGTTTCATTGTTGGAATCTACATTTTAAACGGCAAAAGTAATCGAATTTATATTTGCTCCAAGTGCTTCTCAGGTTTTCGTCCTAAATCAGGGTTCCTAGCCTGGGGTGCTTGTATCCTCAATAAGTTTGAGGTGGCAGTTCAAGGGATATATTTTATATAATTTTTAAATTAAATTTTACTTAATTGATGTAAAATGTATTGAAAAATTACGTAGAGGCCATAGTCATAGAGGGCTTTCTCTGTTTTAAACTCTGCGCCACACTGACATACCGGTAACTGAGATTTTCGAAAATGCGGTTTATTTATTGCTATTTTTAATTAAAGTATCTGATTTTATTGTTTTGCATTTTCTGCTGAAGAGGGAATCTAGACGAAACGTCAGTTAAATTTTCCAGTCTTTCTATCAAATTTCAAGCCTTAACATTAACATTTTCCCACTATTTATTAATTAAAATTAATGTAATAATTAATACCGGTAATTGAATTGGTCACAAGTGCCATTTTTACAGTTATCTTTGAGATTCAACAAACGAAAATAGAAGTACTTTTTTTTCAAATTAAAATGCATTGTTTCTTTTTTCCGGGGTGAGAGAGTTTGTTAAACAATTATGGAGTGCGAGACTAGTAGTAAGAAAAATTCGTAGGTCCGTAGGCCGTAGCCGTAGGTGATGCCGGTCACAGAAAAGGTTGGGAAAACACGGTCTCATATGAGTGTTTCCTTATTAATTATGAGATACACCAAAATCATGATTTGGGCCTACATAAAGTATTTTTAAATATAAAAAAAAGGAAACAAAATTAAAGATTCATAATTAATTAGAACCATACCCCACCCCCGTTTTCAACAATAATTAATAGCTTTGTGAAAGTTTGTGATTGATCCCTTCCTAATTATGATTGAGAACCACTGTTTTTCCCGATAAAACGATAAACAAGTAGCTATGTTCCGACTACATCAGTCGAATTTTTTATACTTCCTTAATAAAATATAAAATATTAAAATTATAGACTATATTGATATGCTTAGATCCATGAATACAATACTAGTCTGTGGACTATCTTTAACGACATTTTTTTATAGATAACATTTGTTAATTTATTATTTTAATGAATGCAATGTTACAATGTTAATAAATTAATTATTAATTATAAATAATTTTAAATTTTAATGTTGTTCAATACTGAAACTGAAGTGAAGTGGTTAAAAATTAGAAATCTTAAGTCGACTTGACTTAATTGTCTTAAATTTAGGTCCTAAACCCTATAATTCTTTTCTATAATTATAATAATATAAGTCAAACTCAATCTCCACCCCTTACCCTTACTTACTTTAAACTTAAACTATGATGGTATTATTTATCTATTTACTTACTACTTGTTCTATTTCTATTACTATTATACTATAATCTATACTGATACCATACTCACTAATCAGTGTGTAGAGTACTGTAGAGTATCATCATCAGTGCAATTGCAGTGTCGAATAAATCAGATTTTGTCAAATTTAAATTATTAAATGAGTATAGAGTCTAGTTTATAAAAGTAAAAGTATAAATATAATTTTTAGCCGTCACCAGTCTCCATAATAAGATGATAACTTTTAGTTAGTAGAATGTAGTTAATTAAGTTGACTCAGCCTCTAAGCAGGTTGTGAGTAATAGTACTAATAATAATTATAGTAAAGTGTATTGACAGTGTCTACACAATGTCAGTGGTTACTAAACTAATTACTAATATGGTTATCTACCACTTCAGCTTCGGTTATGAAAAAACGTGTTTTCTAGTTTGAAGTGATATTTAAACAGTTATTCTTTATTATCCATTTCATTAACAGTACAGTGGAGAGGGTCCCTTAGTTTTTGATGGCGTAGAATAGAAATAGAAAGAGAGAGTGGGCGCTGTTTTCTCACTAAAGTGCCAAAACGCTGTGCGATCACATTACTACAGGAGTGCATAGAGAGATATATCCTTTCACCCTCACTTATTTTATCAGATGGATGGGCGGTATATACTTATACAAACATAAAACTGATGAGATACAGAATCTAAAAAAAACTCTATTGTTATTCAACAAAATTTTGTTAATCCAAATGAAGCTAATGTTCACACACAGACTGCTGAGAATATGTAGATGCGCGGAAACAGAAAAGAATATTTGGCCCAAAACGCGATATTTGTCCTTCATTTTTGCATGAATACATGATCATGTCCTGCAATCGTTTTCATGGAGATGATATAAAATCAATGTACGAAAAGAAAACAGTTAAAATTGTTTACATTTTCCTATTAGAAAAATTATTAAATTGTTTACATATTTTTATTTTAAAAATGTTGTCTTTTACATATGTGTTGAAATTAAAAATGTCATAAAAAACAATTCTATTTATTTGGATAAGTAAAAGAATTCATCTCATCAATAAAACAATAACTGTTTAAATAACACTTCAAATCACATTTGTTTGAGAGTCATTGTGTTATGTTATTTTTTCATTATTTTTTTTTCTTTCAATAGTTATGTGTGCTAAAAATAAATGAAAACAAGGACTGATTGTTTCTCAAGGATTTATTTCTCTGAAAAATGGCAGAAGCTCTTATTTCATCTCCAGAAATTGAAGAAAGGTATTTATTTAAGAGAAATACTTGTTAGGCTTCTTTAAAAATTTTAAATTATAAATATGTTAGGTTTCATCATTCTTTCCCTTATTGTTCCATTCAATTACTTGGTATAAATGATGCTGGAAGCAATGTCAATTTAATATCTGCAAAAAAACGACAAAAACAAGAACAAATTCTGTACATAAACTGAAAGGGACACAATCAAGAGATAACATTGATACAATTTTCTTATACCGGTAGCATAAAGAAAAAAACAACAGAATTCTGCTGTAGTGACCCTTGTACTAATGCCATTAAATTTAGCTCTATCTGTTATATTGACAATGCAAAGCTGAAAAGTGTGACATGATCTTTTAAGTATTTTTTTGTCAAGGATTCATTAAGATGTATTTATTTGTGGATTAATTGTCACATTGATATAACATTGCGTTGCAACTCACTTAAAATTTAAAAGTGGGTATTATGTCTTTAAACAATTTAAAATTTATAATATATACATGGGTGTGACACACTGAACTTCTGCACACTGTTAAAAAGCTGTAAAATAAATACAATTAATATTATACTATTGAAAACAGTAACATTTATTGTAAAATTATCCTTAATAAGATAAGATAAGATGATTCTTTTATTGATCCAAATAAATGGGAATGTTTTTTTTTTTATTACATTTTACACATTCATTTCAGCATATAATAAATAAATACATATTTTAACTGAAACAAAATTTACACATCTTTAAGTCATTCTCTAGCACAAAAATTGGCCACTATATACCCAAATAATATTATGAAATGAACTCCCTTAGTGACAAAAATTACTAAATTAGTGATCATTTAGAGTTGGTATCTGTTGGGGGAGAATGCTTGTATATTCGTACTGACAGGAGAACAAATAACTTTTATCTTTTTGTCCTAACTTTAAAAAAAAGAATTTGCCCTGATCCAGCTAATCTTATGTAATAGAGTTGACTTTCTAAATCCATTGGGGTGTTGGCCTATGAAAGGTTGAAGAAAATCTGATTAAGCTAATCAGCTGAGATTTGAATTTTGCATAATTTTTCTCCATTTACTACAGGAGAGTAAAATTTAAATGTCAACAATATGAAGCAGATGTTAAAGCATCACAGTGGCCTATTATATATAGCTCAGAGTACAATATTAGTTTCTGTGGCCTTGAAAAGCTACACCCTTTTGATGCTGGAAAATGGGGAAGAATCTTTGAATTCCTTAAAGGTAAATACATGTAACAAGCATCCCCTGACAAGAAATCTATTTTTAAAATCATTAGAAACTTTTGGGAAGAGGGAAAGAAAATAGCTAGCCATGCTTTTTAAAATATTTCAAAATCAGCAGATTATAAAAAATACATACTATTATTACAATGACAGTACGTCACTTATATCATAAAAATAAATTTTGATCACCAGTAATTTTAGACATAATATTATATAATGAGTTCATGATAAGAGTCCTTGAGGAGGTTTTACTAGCTATCTGATTTACATTGAAATTTTAGGAGGGTAATTTATGTTATATTAGTTCAAACATTATAGATACCATTTTTGTAATATGTATCATATGTTAATATGTTAACTTTTGCAGCTGCTGGAATGTTGAGAGAGGACACAATTGTAGAACCCATGGAGGCTACAGATGAAGAATTAAAGTTTGTACATTCTGCAAGATATTTATGTAGCTTGAGGGTGAGTTTAAAAACTGAACTTGTAATATAACAGTTTAAACAATGTGTAACATGGAAAGAAGGTTGGACTCAATTAGACTAAAGTTAAAGACACAGACAATTTGTGTCAGCAAAAAGTATAGTAAGTCTTTAAATAAATGACAAAATGCACAGATATTAAAAATTTTAGCTTTAAACCTTTATCAGTAAAACAAAAAAATACATTATTTAAATTATATTTCACATAATGTAAATAATCTACCTATTGATTAAAAAGCAGAGGAAAAGAATGAGAAAAAAGAGCATGCACATTAAATTGAGGCCTAACTAACTATTCCGTAACATTGGAAGCAATCTTAAAAAATTGATGGTAAAATATATGTTACTGGTTACTCCTTTAAGGTCAGATTTATTTCAATATATTTAAAGAGTTTGAACTGTCACTCTTTTGAGAGACATGGGCTACTATTAACGATCAAAAGTTTTCGATAAAAATATTCTATACTATAACTATGAATTTTCCTTTTTATAATTTTCTTTCTTACACTATCTTTCAATTTAATTAGTATAATGAATGAACTCTCTTTTTCTATTTACCCTGGCTTGGAACTGTCTGGATGTATCCATTCAAAATTGAAAATATAAAATCTCATTCTTTTGCATGATGATGATAGCAAAAGTGATTAATTACAGTTTGTTTCTGTTTTGGTGAAAAGTTTTGATTCTGTGTATTCCATTCACAAGGCAAAATTGAATCAAACTCCACTCTTGATTACAACTATGCTTATTATAATACACTATTATCTATAGCTGACTAATATTGTGGAGGGGATTAATGAGGTATTTTCTTCATCCATGTTGTCATAGATATGTCACTGTATTTTTTACATACGCTATTTGATTTCATCAACATTGTGATTGAAAAAAATCCAGTACTCTCTGCATGTAAATTGCTTTTAAATTAATTTGTAAAATTATTATTATTGTTAAAGAATATATTTTCTAAATGACAAACACATTTGATATTCTAAAAAATACATTTTAAATAAATTACAGAAATAATACACTGCTGAAAAATTCATAAAGTTCTTAAAAGGTTCTTGAGTAGTAATTTTCAAAATGAGATGTATATAGTCTTTCTTTAAAATGATCTTTTAGTTTCTTTTTCTAAGTAAATGAATATCTCATCAATAAAATATCTTCCTTGGGAAATATCATTTCATTTGTTCCATTGATGATAAATAGCAGACAATAGCACTGCAACTTACTTTCAAAGTTTGGTAACATAAAAACAGTTAGTTAATAACACTGGGACTTAGTTTCATAGCTAGTTTTTTAACAGAATTATAGTTAATAACCACCTCCCTTTATTTTTTAGTACCATGTTGTTTTTATTTTGTCTCTTTGATATTCTTATATTATACATTATTTTTTACAATAATTTATTTTATTACAAACAAGAAGCATTGAGTTTGAATCTCTCTAAGATCAAAAGATCAAAAAAGGAATATAAAATTGCATACAGAAGTATTATTCAAGATATGTTTTAAGTAATGAATGAAACTGAAGGAGAATTAAAAGAAAAAAATACTGAAGAAGTTGAAAAATGATTACTATTAATCTATCTGTATGAAATAATGTTTTAAAATTATTATTTAAACTTAAATAAAGTTAGATGGCAAATGTGAGGACATAACACCTTCCCTATCTACATAGTATTTTGTCAAGTAAAAATATACATTTCCAATCTTGCTTTTTAAATTTATGATGTTGTCTTGTATGTTTTGTTTTTAATGAATTCCTTTCACTGCTTTTTTATGTGTTGAACAAATCGAAATACAGAATCCCTAAAACAGTTTTTTGGACGGATACATCCAACAATATATCCACTGCATATACCATGTCAGGGGGCTTTGATATCCTGCATGTGTAGTGTGTTACACGGAGCTTTGTTTTAATAGATGTTTTATTTATCTTAAAAAGCATTATTTTTAGGTTTGGTTTACTCAAGTCATTCATATTGGAAATCGGCAATAAAAAACCTGAGAGATCTAGAGCAATTTAAAAAATAAATAATATTTTTTTCAAGTATATTCTTTTATATCATTGGGAATAAAATGTTGACATAATTTATAAATCCTTTAAATGGTGTTTGATTGTAAAGACAACATGAAAGTTAATTTATGCTGCTTATCATACTGCATATTCTGTCGCAAAACGAAGGGAGTAGATTGGATTGCCTCAAATAAAAGTATTAATGGATCTTCTCTTGAGCACTAGGTATAGAGGTTTTCTGAGATGAAATTGATGTTATAGTCTGATGTGTTAGCATTACGTTATAGAAAAATGTTTTGTGCATTATTTGGTAAAGAAAAACAACAGCAAATAAAGCAAAATGATACGATCAAGAAACATCTTGTATGTTTCAGTTAATTGCTTGCATTTTTTCTCTATTTCAGTGGAGCTTAACTGTAGCAGGAATAACAGAAATTCCACCAGTAGCTTTGTTGCCAAACTTTTTAGTGCAGAGAAAAGTGCTTAGGCCATTTCGCTATCAGACAAGTGGAACAATCATGGTGTGTAGGTTTTTGTTGGTCCCCCTGCTTCTCAAGGAAAGTTTTGACCTAATAGAGCTAATTTCCAGATGTTGTAACTGGATTATTACCTTGAAATTTGAAATTAAATTTAAAAAAAATAAATCTCTTTGCTTTTTTTCTCCAGATAGTCATTTGCTACAAGATGAAATTATTAATGATTACACATTTTATGTACTAGAATAGTTTATAATTATATTGTTAATTGAAAACCTTATATTTTATGAAGAGAATGTTGATTGATATTACGCAATTAGAAATACATAAGATATCATTACTACTTATGACTGAGTGGTGTATTGTTCCCTCCAGGCAGGCAAGCTGGCACTGGAGCGTGGTTGGGCCATCAACATTGGAGGAGGCTTCCATCACTGCTCATCAGACAGAGGGGGAGGTTTCTGTGCCTATGCTGACATCACTCTGTCTATTAAATTTGCCTTTGACAAGATTGAAGGTGTGTCTAAGGTCATGATCATAGACCTGGATGCTCACCAGGTATTACAGCTCATATGCTTGTTATTAAAGGAAAGATGAGAAAATAGAACCCCCTCTACAACATAGGAGCCAAAATAATTCATAGATTAATCATGGGCCCTCAAATTATAGAAGAAGAAATAATATGCTATTTTTAAAAATTATTTAAAGTTAAAAGTATCTGTTTAAAATAAATTTTAATAGTTGTTAAAGTTAAAAGGATATTTAGGATGCAATAGTGAACCATTATCCAAAGTATAGCAACTAATTAATGTAAAAAATCACTCTTTATACAGACCTATTTACCTTCAAACTTTTAAAATCCTTCAATATCATCAAAAAATCATTCAATAAATTATCTTAATAGTAAAAAAATAAACATACAGTATATATAATGTATACACCTCAAAATTGTACACTGTACCCCAAAATCATAAGAGTAAACAGGTCTGTTAATATATTGTATGGAAGTGGTCGATCTGGCATTTATTATTTCAATAGACAAAGAATTTCCAAAAAATGGCTTGTTCTTACCTTGAGAGCAGGAAGGAGGAAACTCGGAAAAATCCCAAACTTGTTTGCTATAGGATGGATTAAAAATATGTTAATGTTGTCATGATTGGGAACAAACCAGAATTAATTAATCTGAGCATAGAGGCTAGTTTTTAATTACTTTGCTCGTGCTGTGCATGGATTGTTATGTGAGATAAACATTCTGTAGTTTTATTGATAAACATGAATGATTTTTTATCTCTCACTTCACAGGGCAATGGGCATGAACGAGACTTCATGGATGATGCCAGAGTGTTTATTCTTGACATTTACAACAGGGATATCTATCCTCATGATGGCTTTGCTAAACGTAAGAATAATTGTTTTATGCTTAATCCTGTTTTGAAATGTATTTATTGTTCACAAATTTTACAGTAGAATTTATTTTACAGTTCATATATTAACTAGATGATTTTTATTAGTAATTTTCAATTATTCAAAGTTGAAAATATTTTATGAAAAAATAAATCGTGTTTAACACAACGGTTTCAATTTATTTAATAATAAATAAGCAACAAAGATTCCACACCATTGTAAAACTGAAATAGAAATGACGGTAACAGGTATTTGTTCAAGTAAAAAATAAAGGACTATTAGAATCTCTCATGATTAAAAAATTTAATGACTTTCTTGAAAGAAAAGCTGATGAAAATCTTTTGGTGCTGAGAATGGGAAAAATTGATCATGTTGAATGCAAAAATTATTGACATTTTTTTAATGTGGAAAACCCGTCCAAAAGTGACAGACCTCCATTTTATTTCTCATAATCATTCCTCATATACTCAATGTTTCAGGAGCCATAAGACGTAAAGTGGAACTGAGATGTTACACAAACAACGAAACGTACCTAGAACATGTGAGAAGGTAATCATCATCGTTCAGATCCAGTGGCCATTTGGACACACGCCCTCTGGCCATGGTGAGATCCAGTGGCCATTTGGACACGTGCCCTCTGGCCATGGTTGAGATCCAGTGGCCATTTGGACACGCGCCCTCAGGCCACGGTGAGATCCAGTGGCCATTTGGACATGTGCCCTCTGGCCACGGTGAAGAATGTACACACTCTCTGCAGCTGTTCTTTGTTGGTTCTGTCTGGTATTTTAAAAATAAGGGCTCGCAGTAAATTGAATAAAGCCAGAATTATACATTTTTTACCATTATTTCACTTTTATTTTATTAAATTAATAATCCTATAGTAAGATTGCTGTCAGTCTTACAGCGAGCCCCTGAAACCCATCAGTCACCAACAGGCCAACACTTCTTTTAATTTAAATGTTGTTGCCCGCCAGAAGTATCAAAATGAACTTCTTTCTTCATTCAGTTTGTGCTTTTTTTTGTGACCGTATGTGCCAGTATGACATAATGGCTCCTATTTTGGTCTGGTTTTAAAAAATTGAATTCATTTAGTGATCTTAAATCTTAGCTAAATGAATTTTTTTTATAAAACATCCATGTCAAGAGGCACCTATACTTCCACTAGCATTTCTAATCGTTGCTCTCCGCATAGGTATAGAATGATGCAAAACTAACTTCAGATATAACCCTAAATGCATCAAAGTGATAGTTACCGACACCTTTTTATCTAATGTGTCTATTGTTATTTCTCAAGTAAAATTTGTATAATTTATATATGTGTGTGGTGACATGTGTAGCAGTGTTAGCATTTAAGAATTGTGTGCATTGAAAATAAATAAATAATTCAGTACATCATTTATTTACGACCCACAAAGAGTTGACTCACAATCAAAGGATTGACTAGTGAAGACATTTGGGTTGGCTACCGGACATTTGTGTTGGCTACTGGACATTTGGGTTGGCTACCAGACATTTGGGTTGTCTACCGGACATTTGGGTTGGACCGGACAATTGGGTGGGACCGGACATTTGGGTTGGCTACCGGATATTTGGGTTGGCTACCAGACATTTAGGTTGGCTACCAGACATTTGGGTTGGCTACCCTTCTGTAGTCTGTAGGATTGTATCTTTACACAGTGGTTAATCCTTACTAAAAAAATTTTCTAATTTTGCATTTCTAAATTACTCGTAGCCATCATGGCATGCTCACCTTTTTTTTCCATCTGTTCCAAGTATTGCGCAAAAACAAATTCTTGTCGCTCATCTCCTCTGAAAATTAGAGGGAACATTGATTGTCACATTTTAAAAATAAATCAATGCCAATGTAGAGGACATTTTTTTAGAAATGAGCTAATGAGCCAACATTCAACCCAGTCTGGTCCAGATCTAGACTTGCTAAAATAGATTTTTACAAATACAAAAATAACTTTTTTTCTTTCATTTTCTAATAACCCATTTTTCCTTGTTATATAAAAGTTAATTGGCTGCAATTATTAAAATTGTTCAGACATTAGAGATTAAATAAAACTCAAAAGAAAACTTAAGATATGTTTTAAAGCAAAAATTTCATATTTTTTTCTAAGACAATGGAAAGATCTTACAACTGTCTTCTCTGTTTGATTTGTGTTGAATTTTCTGTGCCATGTAATTTGTAAAAGGAAATGAGGGAAATAAAGTATTGGAGAACCTGAACCTGAATGCTAGTATGCAACAAAACAACCAACATATAGGCAAGAAGCCTTCTTCAGCAAACAACTTTGTTTCGCTCATTTACTTTTATCAAACCTGATTGCAGTCTCTCCCACTAATTACCATGGTGTTTGTATTTGTCCAGGAACGTCGAGAGGGCCCTGAATGAGTTCACGCCTGACTTAGTTGTTTACAATGCTGGCACTGACATCCTGGAGGGGGATCCACTTGGTAGCTTGTCCATCACACCCCAGGTAAACAAATTGATCGAAACAGACTCATGTATTATTTAATAAACATAATACAGCGACTCCCAAGCTTGGCTACACCAGGAACTTCTAAATGTCTAATCATTGTTCATGGGGGTCATGCTGCTTATCCATGACAGTGAAAATACCAACCCTAACAGAGCTCTTATTTTAAAAATCCTACTTAAGAAAACAATAAAGTGAAAATACCATCTATATTGTATACATTTAACTCAACAGGGTATAATCGAAAGAGATCAGATCGTCTTTCAGAAATGCCGCACACGGGGTCTCCCTATATTCATGGTCACCAGCGGTGGCTACCTGAGGGAGACTGCAAGGATCGTAGCAGATTCTATTCTCAACTTGAGGAAGCTCAACTTAATCTCATGTGTGGAGGCAGAGACAGCTCCACTCATTGATTCAGATGGTAAGCCTAGTGGAGGGTTACTTCCCAAGCTCATTAATGTTGTGGGTGTTGCTGTTCTCGTTTTAAGTGTTGCTGCTGTGATAAATGTTGTTTGCAATGTGCTCATATAGGTGCTTTAAAATAAGGGTAACTGTAATGCATATTTATTTAGGGACAAGACAGTAATTTAACCCACAAACTGTTGTCAGCCGATTTCATCGGCAGATTTTCTCTTCCCATACTGTGTCGGCAGCACAGTACAGAATGATGCAATGGACAGTTTGTGGGTTAAAGTCAGTATTTTCACTACTATTTATCTGTTATTTGGTGCAGTTAAGTAATTATTTTATTAAGCTTCTTGCTTATTCATTTTTTGGAATTAAACAAAGCAAGCAGTTGTTTTTTATTTTACTTCAATAACTTAATGTCTTGAAATCTTTTACACATTTTTCTCAAATTAGATTTTCAAGGAAAAACTTGTCAGTATTGCAATGGTGATGAAATATCTTGACAAAGTAAAAAGTTCACAGTTTTAGGGTTCATTTATTACTTTGTGTTTTTAATTCTTTCTAGATATGTAAAAATTAAGTATAACTGTTTCACTGAATTTTTTTTTCATATAACATACTCTACCAATCATTCCACATACTCTACCAATCATTCCACATACTCTACCAATCATTCCACATACTCTACCAATCATTCCGCATACTCTACCAATCATTTTGCATACTCTACCAATCATTCCGCATACTCTACCAATCATTCTACATACTCTACCCATGATTCCGCATACTCTACCAATTATTCCACATACTCTACCAATTATTCCACATACTCTACCAATCATTCTGCATACTCTACCAATCATTCTACATACTTTACCAATCATTCTGCATACTCTACCAATCATTCTGCATACTCTACCAATCATTCCGCATACTCTACCAATCATTCTACATACTCTACCCATGATTCCGCATACTCTACCAATTATTCCACATACTCTATCAATCATTCCACTTCCTTAGCTTTTTGATGAATTTGTAATACTATTTGTTGAATCATGTTTTAAAGTTCAGCATCATTCTTTTAAAGGCAGTGCAGCTGTTCATTAAGGTGCATTTAACGTTGTGTGATACTTGATTTGATGATTTAAATTTGTTTTAGCTAAACATTGTTATCTAGATCGTGTTTGCACCACTTTTCCAGTGCCATGTAGTCTGGTTGACCCCACATGAGACGGCGTTCGCATTGGGCGTGGCCGCTGTTTTCCACAACTATCAACTAAAAATAACTAATATATTCTAATAGAATTTTGGGGAAACTTCGATAATTTACTAGAAAATATTATATATCATAATTAATTGGCACATTGTACTAATTGTGTAGCGGTACAAAATTTTTCCCATACTCTGTAAGTTGATGATTTGTAATTATATTTCTTTTGTTTTGTAATTGTAGCAATACTAAATTAAATCTTATTAATTGTTATTGGTACTGTTTTGGGTGTCGTATTTTTGTTAATTTATTTCTCTATGGTATCGTCCTTTGTTAGGCACTGTTTGAACGAGCCATAAATTCTATAAGTTCTCACAATAGAAGCCAGTGTGTAACAACGTGGAGTACTTAACTTTAAAATCAATCATTGTACCCTCTCACGTTACGTAACATTAACATTGTGGGGAAAGGTGTTATAAAACAAGGATGCATTTAAAAAAAAAAAAAGTTTTGGTCAGTGGTGTTTTAGAGATGGTATCCTGTATAAATAAATATTAATGTACATTTCTCAATTAAAAAGAAACATCCATCAACATGTTAGACCAGGGGTGGGCAAACTTTTTGTGCCGGGGGTCACGTTGACAAAAGTAAAGCTATTGGGGGGCCGCATGTATATTGTGTCCAATTTTTACTTCTTCTTCTTTATTTTGAGGGCCCACGATCAATGAATTGATCATTCTAGCTCCTATGTTTCAGAGGGGTTTGCGATGTTACTGTGCATGGGTTTACATGTCAGTATACATTTCTATTTATTAAAATCGGTAAATTCGCATTTTAGCATTACATGACAAAAGTCAAGGACTGTTTTAAGAAATAGAAAATTAGAAAGAAATTTGATCAAAAATGTTAAAACAATCCTAACGGTACATGAAATTCTGTAAAATTCAACAAAATAACTTAAAAACAAAGTAATTTTTGTGATTTCTAAATGGCTTTGAGGGCCACATAATATCAGTTGCCAGGCGGGCCGTAGTTTGCCCACCCCTGTGTTAGACTTTATTTGACCATCTCATTGAACTGAAGGATTTCTTCATGGCACTTTGGGCACAAGTTACTGATTTTTAGAATATTCTTGTTAATTTTGTGTGGCGCATCTTTCCCCCATTCTTTATTCAGCACTTTGTATTTTGTTCTAATGGCTCATTCAAACACTGGATTTCTCGATGTGGCAAATTTCACTGCCAATTGTTGTGGTCATGCTACTCCTCCATGGTGTTTCGGTACTTATGGTACTTGAAAGAAGGTTAAAAGAACACTTGCTCATTATTATTCCCCTTTGTTTTTAAAGATTCTGATCAATGTGGAACATCAATATGAAGATGTCTAATGCATGGTGAGCTATTTGCTTTTTGTTTTGTATATTCAAACAATTTAACGTGTGCATTTATTGATATCTATTTATATGCAGGGGGGGTTAAAAACTTAATGGCAAGCAATTTTAAAATCCATTGTTTCATAAGTAGCTGGTTTTTTTTGGGCCCCAAAATTTCTGTATAAAATATAACAAATCAACTATTTAATAAATATTTAGTGACTTTCTGAAGAAGAACTGGTACAATGTTACTGTTATAATGCTGTGCTAAGGTGCTAGTTCAATAAGATCATGGATGGTGTTCTAATGGGTTCTAAGCACAACATTAAATACCCCTGTTTGTGATTCTACAATAATTATTGTAATACCCTCAGGGAATCTGGTCAGTATAAAATGTGCTGTCACAAAAAACTCATGTTAAATTTTGTATTTTCTTGACTGACCTATGTTTTAATGATTAAATGTTTTGTAATTGAAAAATCTCATAGCCAATTATTAAATGGTAGAGAACCATAAAACGATAGCACTTCAATAGACTACTTTTAGCACTTCAATAGATTACTTTATCAGACGAAATAGACAGGTGAGGGGGAGAAGTAATTGACAGGTGTATTTGAAATGTAATTGAATGGGCAATGGGGATATGTAATTGACAGGGCAATGGGGTTATGTATTTGACAGGGCAATGGTGTTATGTAATTGACAGGGCAATGGGGTTATGTAATTGACAGGGCAATGGGGCTATGTAATTGACAGGGCAATGGGGCTATTTAATTGAAAGGGCAATGGGGCTATGTAATTGACAGGGCAATGGGGCTATTTAATTGAAAGGGCAATGGGGCTATGTAATTGACAGGGCAATGGGGCTATTTAATTGAAAGGGCAATGGGGCTATGTAATTGACAGGGCAATGGGGCTATTTAATTGAAAGGGCAATGGGGCTATGTAATTGACAGGGCAATGGGGCTATTTAATTGACAGGGCAATGGGGCTATGTAATTGACAGGGCAATGGGGCTATTTAATTGACAGGGCAATGGGGCTATGTAATTGACAGGGCAATGGGGCTATTTAATTGAAAGGGCAATGGGGCTATGTAATTGACAGGGCAATGGGGCTATTTAATTGAAAGGGCAATGGGGCTATTTAATTGACAGGGCAATGGGGTTATGTAATTGACAAAGGCTATGATGAGGTTTCATAATTGGCACATATAACCGATATATTTATTCGGAACAGAGTAATTGAGGTTAAAAGGTTTGTTAGGGTTTCCAAATTGACGTCATTAATTATGTGGTCAACAAATTTTGATTGTTGCTTCAATTGAGTTTCTCATAATTGCTTGTTTATTTTAAATGGAAATTAACATATCGATGTCATGAGTGATAAATGTTATATTACTATGACATACACTTCCTAATGTTTTCAATTGCGTTCATATAATGGATATCATATATTAAATATAAGGGATGTTATTTTTTTATGTTCACTTATCAAATTTTTAAACTGGCAATCAAGTTGTTTCAACTCAAATTGTCAAATGTGTTTTTCTCTGGACTGGATACAACTGAATGCTCATGACTAAGAGACATTATTATAGAATATTTTATGATTTTAAGTATAGTACATTTACCGGATGCTTAGAATTTATGTTACTAAGAATATTCTAACTGCCATATTAACTATGAAAATGTTGTATTCTAAATCTTTCAGTGCCTTTAACATCGTTAACGCGAAGTCGAAGTGATGGTGGATTGTTTGCCAGACTTAAGCGCTCTTGTTTGTCTCGAGCATCCAGTTCAAGTCAAAATATGTCTGATCTCGGCAGCCCAGCAGAGCCGCCTTCACCAAGTCATCCCTGCGGTATAGAGCTTTCCCTTCCTAAAGACATGACTGATCTTGACAGCCCGGTAGATCCTTCATTGGATAGAGGCACAAGCAACACTGCAGCCATTGACCACTGAGAGGCACAAGCAACACTGCAGCCATTGACCACTGCTGCATAAAGGACAGAAATCTTTTTTTAAGTTCATTGACCAAAACTGTGTCTTTTTAAAAATGTAACCTTTTTATAAATGTATTATCATTGAACAGTGATTACCTTTGGTAAATGTTTATTTGAGCTGTACATTCTCCTTGACCACCAGCTCAGTGGGTCAACATTTCCATTATTTCACCAGCACAGTGGGTCAACATTTCCATTATTTCACTGGTACAGTGGGTCAACACTGCCATTATTTCACCAGCACAGTGGGTCAACATTGCCATTATTTCACCAGCACAGTGGGTCAACATTGCCATTATTTCACCAGCACAGTGGGTCAACATTGCCATTATTTCACCAGTACAGTGGGTCAACACTGCCATTATTTCACCAGCTCAGTGGGTCAACATTTCCATTATTTCACCAGCACAGTGGGTCTACATTGCCATTATTTCACCAGCACAGTGGGTCAACATTTCCATTATTTCACTGGTACAGTGGGTCAACACTGCCATTATTTCACCAGCACAGTGGGTCAACATTGCCATTATTTCACCAGCACAGTGGGTCAACATAGCCATTATTTCACCAGCACAGTGGGTCAACACTGCAATTATTTCTGTAAGAAGATGCAATTACTTCTTATCAATATTTCATTATGATATTGTCACTGGGTACCAATATAACTCGCCAATCATGAATCAAAGCATATATCTTCATAATTTTTATTGCTGACAGCACAGATGTAGCACCATTGCTCAATCACAATCTCACAAAATGCCAAACTTCAGTTGCCTTATTTTATAAGTAAATCTTCACTTTACAAGCCTTCAGGCCATTTTTTGGCATTTCAATGAAATAGGAATGTAATAATATGGCCACCTTGTTTGAAAAGAATAATAATTTTAATGCCAGCCAATAGAGCTCAACTGTTTTAAAAACATAGTTTTCCCACAAAGCAAACTAAAGTCTCACTTATAGGGATTGCCAGACAGAAAAGACCCAGTTGTGTCATGTACACAAACAGCCATTGTTTTTTTCATTTTTTTTTTTCTACACAATGATTTTTCATTTTTAATCTTATTCAGAGAAGAAGGTGACATTTTAAAAATGATGTTATTTTTACCAGTGTAATTTCCAATGCAACTTAAATCCACTGTAAATTAATCTCTTTGAGTCTGTGATGGAAAATTTGGTACTATCTATAAGAAATTCATTTTATTGTATGCAGATAGCCCAAAAAATTGAAATAAAACTTTGTATATATATTATTATGAAGTCTGGTTACACGTAGGGTTCCTAACATATGCTATTTTAAAAATGTTGTATAATTTAATGAATGACTGAGATGGAAGTGTAGAGGTGGGTACCTAGAGGATCACTTGATTTTAACAGAACTGTGAAGTAAGTGGAACATTAAGGCTATCCCATACAAACTTCACAAGTTATCTGATTCTAAGGCAACCGTCAAGCTTTGACTAACCAGAATGTTATTTTATCAAGTTTTTTTTTCTGTGCATGTGACACGTTATTAGAAGCTCACTACTTCACGGGAGTCAAAAATGCTGCCAGAGGAATAAATATGAAGCTTGAGGCCTGACAAGTGGCATTGTAAGCCCATGACGACAATGTTTATTAGGTGCTGTAAGCGTGTGCCGGCAGTGTTTATTAGGTGCTGTAAGCGTGTGCCAACAGAGTTAATCTAGTTGCATTGTAAGCCTATGCTGACAGTGTTTATTAGGTGCTGTAAGCGTGTGCCAACAGTGTTAATCTAGTTGCATTGTAAGCCCATGCTGACAGGGTTTATTAGGTGCTGTAAGCGTGTGCCAACAGTGTTAATCTAGTTGCATTGTAAGCCCATGCTGACAGTGTTTATTAGGTGCTGTAAGCGTGTGCCAACAGTGTTAATCTAGTTGCATTGTAAGCCCATGCTGACAGTGTTTAGTAGGTGCTGTAAGCGTGTGCCAACAGTGTTAATCTAGTTGCATTGTAAGCCCATGCTGACAGTGTTTATTAGGTGCTGTAAGCGTGTGCCGACAGTGTTAATCTAGTTGCATTGTAAGACCATGCCGACATTATTTATTAAATAGCTTTGTAAGCCTTGCCAGCAGTGTTTAGTCAGTGGAATTGTAAGCCCATCCTGACACTGTTGGTTAAGTGACATTGTAAGCCCATGCCGACAGTTGTAGTTAAGTGACATTGTAAGCCCATGCCGACAGTTTTAGTTAAGTGACATTGTAAGCCCATGCCGACAGTTTTAGTGAAGTGACATTCTAAGCCCATGCCGACAATTTTAGTGAAGTGACATTGTACGCCCATGCTGTCAGTATTAGTTAAGTGACATTGTAACCCCGTCATGACATTGTTATTTAAGCAATGATTCAAACTATCCCAACAATTTTATCTTCTCATAATATTCAAACTTTTCTTAATATTGATGTTAAATTTTTGAATGATTAAATCTGTAAGGTTCACATCTGATGGATATTTGAGTCAACTGTTGATACTATGTTATTCATTCTCATCTTGTGACACTGTTTGCACTGCTATATTTGGCCACCTTTCTTCACAATAAATGCTACACATTTTTTTTGTTGTTAAACTACAATGAAATAAACCCCATTCACTTGATATGTTTGATTGTGTCTTTCTACTAATAGAGTTTAGAGTCAATATTGCTCTACTCCTTAATGAAAACTCACATATCAACTACTCCATCTTGTATATGTTTTCATAATCATCACCCACCAACAACCACTTGTATTGCATGAAGAATAGAGGCCTATGAATTTAGTGCCACTAACGAAAACCACTATAGGAGCCACAAGGAACAATTCCTGGAACGTGGGCCCTCAAAATATTGAAGAAGAAACCCTACTTCTCAAGCATACTAATAAATTGAGCCATAAAGTAAACATCAAATTGAATACTTATAAATTTAGCCATAAAGTTTATATCAAATTGTATGATAATAAATTGAAACATAAAGTATACATCAAATTGAATACTGATAAATTTAGCCATAAAGTATATATCAAATTGTATGCTAATAAATTGAGCCATACAGTATAAATCAAATTGAATACTAATAAATTTAGCCATAAAGCATATATCAAAGTATATAATTATAAATTTAGTGATAAAGTATACATCAAATTGTAAAATGATAAATTGAGCCATAAAGTATTTATCATATTTTATTATAATAAATTTAGCCATAAAGTGTATATCAAATTGTATACTAATAACTTGAACAATAAGTAATTATCTCATTGTATTATTATTTAAAATTTTCAACCGCAAAGACACATAATCTTTTGGTTGATTTATAAATTATGCTATAATTAACAAAATGTCATTTATTATTATTCAGATTTAAATGGGGGAAAAAATATTTTAAACCAGAGATGACCAGCAGGTTCCAGTCCAATATATTTGTATTTGCCGATGATCTGAAGAAGAAAATAATGACGTCATATTATCATTATATTCGATGCACGTAAAACAAGTAATCACTGCAATACTCTCGATTGCCTTGATGAAACAAGAATACATACAAAATAGTGTGGCCATATGGTTGCAAACAAAAAAAAAATTGAAATGTTTACCATGGACCCAGACAAAACAAACTAAAGGGATGAGATAACTAAAGAAAGGATTGGAAAAAAAAAAAAGAACAATTAACAATTTTTCAAGTCTAAACAGATCTTAATCCACTATTTATTTATTTATTTCATACGACTTGAAAGCAACCCCAACTTATTGTAAAGGGAAGGACGTGTTTTGTTCATTAAATCGGGTAGCAAATCCTATTGTGGATGTCTAGTTGAAAAATCCAAGAGTGTTGTCCAGTTGACAAATTATCTGAGTGAGGATGTCTAGTCTAGTTAACAGTGGAAAAATCTTAGTGGGGATGTCGTCTAAGTTTACAAATCCTACTGTGGATATCCAGTTGACAAATCCTATTGCGGATGTCTAAGCTAGCAAATCCTAGTTTGGATATCCAGTTGACAAATCTTAGTGAGGATGTCTAAGTTAACAAATCCTATTGTCGTTGTCTAGTTGACAATCAATTCTAATGTGGTTGTCTAGTTCAGTGTCTTCCAATGAGGTGGCCGCGGTCAGATACTGGTCCGTGTTGCCGTAGGGGGAAGTCCACCTGTCATATAAACTTAACATTTCGCGATACACGGACACTTTTTGAAGTCTTAGGTGGTAAAAGTCTTAGGTAAAGTTAAATCATAGTCTGGTTGTCAAGTTTATAAATCCCAGTGTGGTTGTCCGGTTGATAAATCCTAGTGTGGTTGTCTGACACGTTGCAATGGTGTTGCCTAGTCTGTGGTGTAGGATGTGGGAGTGGAGGGGACGGTCAGTCCCGGCCTCGACTTTTATTCTTGTATTAAGGGCAGCATTTTCGGCCAACTGCAGAGGTTTTATTTTCGTGGAAGATGGCGGCACTAACCCTAGTTTCGCCCCAGTGTCAAATCCTAGCGTTGTTGTTTATTAGACAAATATCGTAGTATGGTTATCTAGTTTACAAATCCTAGCGTGGTTGTCTAGTAGAAAAAGATCCCAGTGTGGTTATCTAGTTTACAAAACCTTATGTGGTTTTTTGGAGGACAAATCCTAGTGTGGTTGTCTAGTGGAAAATACCTATGTTTTTTTTTTCTAATTCAAAAAAGTATCCGCTTCATTAATTCTGCTCAGATTGATCGCTCGTCTCACCTAATTAAATATAGAAAATAGTAACTTAATTATGTAGCTATAGTTAGTTTTTTACGTCCTCCACAGCACCTAAAAATAAAGCATTTTCTGTCTTTAATTTAATATAATACTTGTCATAGAAGGAAACCTAAGAGAGAAGTTCTTAGAGCGGACCTTTCATTGCAAGTATTTTTCTGTCCAATGACCTTGTTTTACGTTTTAAAGATCAAGAAAACTTCACCAGATATTGCGCACGCGACAATGAAATTTGGTAAACTGCACCAACGCGCACCAGCACTTGAAATTGGAGTTGCTACGTGTTGCGAGACAACCGACTGACGTCATTATTAGCCAAGAAAGTATGTCCGCACGAAATGGTGTTGAGACGCTTTCCCCACGGGTGAACTTTTATCCCTTGACCATGACAGTTTTCTAAAGCGATCTCTCCTACAGTTTCTCCACCAGCAGCCGGCACCATTATCTCCTCTCTGGTTTTCTTCACAATTTGTCTCGTCGAAATGGGTGAGTCTTGCAAAAAAAGATCGTTTTTACCCCCTTGACTTTGAAAAGTTGTCCTGCCCTTATCCACACTAAGCTAAGGCTGGGAACTAAGTTGTTCTTTTCTTTATTTGACAATGTAAATAGAAGACATGGGGGCCATCCCACTGCTTTTAGCCATGGGGAGCCACATGACCTTCACCGGCATTATTTAAACCAGAAAGTTATGTTGACTAAATGTTATATTTAGATATATATATTTACATTGTTGGTTAGGAGTTGATAAAACTGTACGGAATCATGAAACATTGAGGTTTAAAGTTCCACAATTATGAGTTAATTGTCTTGTGTAGTGTATCCTTGAATGACATTATTGTTCGATAAAATTTCTACAATGTACTTTTTTCCCAACTAGTGTCTAGCTTTGTTCCTAAGTGTTACTTACAACGCTAGTTTAGCTGTATTATTATTGTTACGTTCTTGTTGAAATTTTGAGATTTTTAAACCCATTTCACATATGAATTATAAACCCTATTTTTTTTAGAGGGATTCAGGTTCTAAAGTTTCGCTTAATCATATGTGACCTTTTAATAAAACCTAAACAAAACCTTGGCACTATTCACCCTAAACAAATGCGTAAAAAATCAGAAATAAGCCAATGTTAATTATTGTAAAAGTTCAGAGAAATACCAAAAGAAAAAAGCCGTTCAAACTGTAAAACGTTTCCATCCAAGGTAAATATGAAAAGTTCATTCTCTAGCACCCCACGCCCAAGTCTTCCAGTTTGAAATTTGTGCATCGATCAGTTGCCCTCTAACGGCAACAAACCTTGTTTTCACGTTGCTCTGGTCATGTTGCGGTGGTCCATCGTTTCTAGCCACCAGACAGCTCCGCAGCAAGGCGAGTTTTCTCACCTCCCGACGCCCGTATAGTTGCTCGTGAGGCCGTCTACACTGCTCTCTGCGTGTGTTGGATGAATATGGCCCTAGGCTTGGTTCACTAGAGTGAGTGTCAGGGACAGCAAGATTGATAGATTTTGTTTTCAGTTGCGTAAATTCTAATTCCAATGATACCATCTAGTTAACAATTATTATAATTTAAAGGGTTATACTTTTTGAAACAATTTTTCTGTCGACTTCAGGGGAAAAAAAAATTGAGTCCCTCTTAGACAACAAAGTGAGTAATTTAACAGCTTGGATCGAATTGGCGCTAACTTTCTTAGTGGAAAGGTACGCTGGAAAACTGCAATCACGGTCTTTGAAGTATTTAATGTAACGTTTCATTTGTCTCAAATGCAAAACCATCAGATTAAAAAAAACAAAAAAAACATAGATGTTTATTAGGACTATGCTTGTTTGATTTCCCAGCGGAAATTTCATTTATGTTCACAGATGGGGTTTTCCCCCCAATACATACGGATTAAACAAAAAATACTGCCCTCAAGAACTCAATTTTAGGACCAAATATGGAGGCTTGTAAATTGTAATAATGCCACAGAGTTTAGTTAATTTTTGTTTTGTTTGAAAACTACTATTTTAATTAACCAAACAGTTTAAATTCATTTGAACTCTTCTTTCATTCCAGCCCTGATGATAATAGCTTTGGAGATTCTACCCGAATCAGCATGGGAGGAATTTAGAGATAGCCGTCTTTTCAACAACGCCATCAGAAGCAACCAGCAGTAATTACGCACGTCCAAGCTTCCAGCTAGTTACAGGCCAGCACTGACTATTTCTGAACTCTTTCGCCTTTTTTTATATAAACTTTTCAAACTGTCGCACAAATGTCGAGCCAGCAGCCCTTACCCGTGGCTCCTGTCACCAAAATTGCCCGGGACGGGGACAGTACTAACAGCAGCAAAGAGGAGTTGCGTCCCACTAAAATCAATTCATTCAAAGTCAGCTCGACGGATAAGAAAAGTCCCCCTCGCACCATAAGTCCTGTGACTAGAAACATTCCATCACCAGACTACACCCCCACGGAACGAACGTCTTCATTATCATTCAAGCCGCCATCTTTAAAAAAGAAACCCCCAGAACCAGAGCCACCCCCACCCCCTGGAACCATTTCAGCAGCTTTCGGTTACATTAGTTCTTTTTTCACTACTCGCGAGCCGATTAATACAAAATCTTCGGGAACCGTGGGAAAGAACCAGATAAAGAAAGTCTCCTCCACCGCAGAGCAAGCGAGCACGGCCTTATCCCAAATGCAGAAACAGACTGAAGGCGAGAATGAAACTCCCGTAGTGGAAACCGTCGCCCACACCCCAGCGGCCCCATCCCCAGCCCCGCCTCCAAAGAAAACGGACGCGAAGAAACCGTCACAGGTGACGAGGAGATCAGCATCGCAGTCCTCAAAGCCAGGGGGCAAAGGTCGGGGATCGTCTCCAAATGCATCGAAAGACAAAAAGGC